AAAACACTCAGCAAAGTGAGAAAAGAGAGAAAATACATTACATAATAAAGGCCATATATGACAAACCTACACCCAGCATCATACTCAATGGGAAAAAAACTAAAAGCATTTCCCTTAAAACAGGAACAAGACAGGGATGTCCACTTTCACCACTCTTATTCAACATAGTAATAGAAGTCTTAGCCACAGTGATGAGACAAGAATATAAAATAAAAGGCATCCAAGTTGGAATGGATGAAGTAAAACTCTCATTATTCACAGATGACACGATATAGTACATAGAAAACCTGAAAGATTCCATCAAAAAACTACTAGATTTAATAAATAAATTCAGCAGAGCAGCAGGATACAAAATTAACATCCATAAATCAATAGTACCTTTATAAACCAATAATGAACACTCAGAAAGAAAAACTAAAAAAAAAAAAAAGTCACATTTATCATTGCAACAATAACAACAAAAAAATAAAATGCTTAGGAATAAACTTAACCAAGGAGGTAAAAGTTCTGTTCTCAGAAAATTACAGGACATTGAAAAGAGAAATAGATGAAGATAGGAAAAAGTGGAAACATATACCATGTACATGGATTGGAAGAATTAACATCATTAAAATGTCCACACTTCCGAAAGCAATGAACAGATTCAATGCAATGCCTATTAAAACACCAATGGCATGTTTCACAGATCTAGAACAAATACATCAAAAGTTTATATGGAATTTAAAAAGACCCCAAATAGCCACAGCAATCTTGAAAAGGAAGAATAAAGTGGAGGGATCACAATACTGGATATTACGTTATACTACAAAGCCATCCTAATCACAATAGCTTAGTACTGGCACAATAACAGGCATATAGATCAGTGGTACAGAACAGAGAGCAACCCAGAAATTGACCCAAGTCATTATACTCAATTAATATTTGACAGTGGAGGCAAGAGCATACAATGGAGTAAAGACAGTCTCTTCAATAAATAGTATTGGGAAAATTGGACAGGCTCATGCAAAACTTGAAATGAGACCACCAACTTACAACATACACAAGAATAAACTCTAAATGGATAAGAATCATTAGTAAGTTATGAACCCATAAAAGTCCTAAAAGTCCTAAAAATGTAGGCAGCAAAACCTCAGACATCACATGTAACAGAATTTTCACCGATACATTGCCAAATGTTAGCTAAACACAGGAAAAAATTAATAAATTGACTACATTAAACTAAAAAGTTTCTGCAAAGCAATAGAAACCAGCATCAAAATGAAAAGGGACCCCACTCTGTGGGAGAACATATTTGTCAATGATACATTTGATAAAGGAGTAATTTCCAAAATATATAAAATACTCATACATCTCAACAAAAGGAAGACCAAAAATCCAATTAAAAAATGGGCAGAGGACCTGAATAGACACTTCTCTAAACAGGACATACAAATGGCCAAAAGACATATGAAAAAAAGGCTGACCAGCATTAATGATCAGACTAATGCAAATTAAAACAACATGAGGTATCACCTCACACCTGCCAGAAAGGCTACCATCAACAAATTGTCAAACAAGTGCTGGTGAGGATTCGGAGAAAAGGGTATTCTAGTACTCTGCTGTTGGAATTGCAGACTGGTGCAGCCACTATGGAAAACAATATGCTGCTTCCTCAAAAATTAAAAATAGAATTTCCATTTGACCCAGTGATTCCACTTCTAGGAAGATATCCTAAGAAGCCTGAAATACCACTCAGAAAGAATATATGTGCCTATATTCATAGTAGTGCTATTTACAATAGCTAAGATCTACAAACAACCCAAGTGTCCATCAGTAGATGAGTGGATAAGAAAGCTGTGATACATTTACACGATGGAATACTATGCAGCTGGAAGGAAGGAAGGAAGGAAGGAAGGAAGGAAGGAAGGAAGGAAGGAAGGAAGGAAGGAAGGGAGGGAGGGAGGGAGGGAGGGAGGGAGGGAGGGAGGGAGGAAGAAGAAAGAAAGAAAGAAAGAAAGAAAGAAAGAAAGAAAGAAAGAAAGAAAGAAAGAAAGAAAGAAAGAAAGAATCTCTTACCCTTTGAGAAAACATTGAGGGACCTGGAGAGTATTATCTAGGTAAAATAAGCCAGTCAGAGAAAAATGAGTATCATATGATCTCATTTATTTGTGGAATGTAATAAACAAAATAAGCTGATGAACAAAATAGGTCCAAAGACATGGAAGTAGGGAACAGACTGACAACCTCAGAGGGAAGGGAGTTAGGGGGCAGGAAGAGATAAATCAAAGAACTTATATGCACATATGCATAATCAAGGGGCACAGACAACAGTGCGGTGAAGGCAGTGAAAGCAGGGGTAGAGGAGGTGTGGGAGCAGGGAAGAGGGCGTCATTGAGGAAAACAAAATGAGGGACATCTGTAGTACTTTCAACGGTAAAGATTAAATAATATTTTTTACATCATTTAGCACATTGCATGCTTTCTTTGCCATCAGCTGGAATTTGTTTAAGTGATAATATGTTTATTCATTTTGATTTTAGGGAAAGGACAATCATATATCTTACAGGAAAGTAAACCTTTAAAAGAAATCATACCATATTATAAAGTGAAATAATGTAGAGTTTATCTCTTTTAAAAAAATCAGCCCTGGCCAGTTTGGCTCAGCGGTTAGAGCGTCGGCCTGCGGTCCTGAGAGACCCGGGTTCGGTTCCCGCTAAGGGCACGTACCTCGGTTGCAGTTTGTCCCCAGACCTGGTTGGGTCGTGTGGGTGGCAACCACTTGTGTCCCTTTCACGTCGATGTTTCTCTCTCTCTCTCCCTCCAACACTCTATCTGAACAAAAAATAGAAAAAATGTCCTCGGGTGAGGATAAAAAAAAAAATCATATCTGTGGTTATAATCCTCCCCAATGAATTGATACAATGTAATGGAGAGAAGCTGTAACAGTTAAATAAAGTAGCTTCATCTATTAAAACTTTATTCAATAAGTGTTTATTATCTACTGTGTTGTTCTAGTGTTGGAAATAGAACAGAAAACAAAGCAGACAAAAACCCCTGCCCTCATGGACTTTGCATTCTATTCCTTGAGATCAAGGTCACATACCCTATAATAAAATGCATGTCAAATGATAAATCTCAGAGCACAAGTCAGTCATGCAGATGTTTCTTAGGTACAGACATTGAGGATATGGAAGTAAAAATGCAAGCTCAGTCTGACTGGTGTTGCTCAGTGGTTGAGCATCAACCCCTGTACCAAGAGGTTGCTGGTTGAATTCCTGGTTGGGCACATGCCCAGACTGTGGGCACAATCCCCAGTTGGGGGTGTGCAGAAGGCGGCCAATCAATGTTCTCTGTTATCAATGTTTCTCTCTCTCTCTCTCTCCCTCTCCCTTCCTCTCTCTCTCAAAATCAATAAAGGAAAAAAAAAAAAAAAACTAAAAAAAGAAAAGGCAAGCTCATCCTCCAACTGTCTAGTGGAGAAGACAGATGAGTGATATTAATAATTACACAAACGTTGGCAAGTACACACACAGGGACCCATGTGAACAGAGAGGCATCCAGCCTAGCCAAAGAGAAAGGGGTGGAACTTGGGGTAGGAAATCAGGAAAAGTGTTCTGAAAACTGTTAAGCCTAAATTGATTCTGGAGGAATGTGTAGCCATAGTCAGGTAAAAAGGAATAGGAGGGTATATCAGACAAAGGAATAAGGGTGAGCAGAAGACAAAGAACAGTGTGTAAACTAGAAAATACTAGTAACTTGTGGAAATGTATGATTTGAATTGGATGACTAATAGAAACAGCCAGATAGATAAGAAGATACTGGTGAATCCATTAAGCAAATGCTTAAGGGACAGATTTGCATTTTGAAAGATTACCTTCCATCATTATGGAAGGTGGCTTTGAATAAAATCAAGAGTGAATGGGGGGGGGGGGGGGGGGGGAGACCAAATTTGAGACCACTGCAATAATCCAAATAATAAAAAATAAAGATCTGAAGTAAAGATGCTGTAAATGTGAGGATCTGAGATATATTGATGAGAGAGAGTTGATAGAAAAGAATTAATTCTATCTGGGGACAGTGGGTAAGGGCTGAAAACTGGCATCGGCACCAAAACTTGTTACCTTATTTTCATAGTGTTGTACTTCTAGAACTATATAAATATGTTATTTTATTAGCCAGGAGTCTCCTGTACTTGATAGCTCAGGGGGATCTTTAACTAGTATGTATTTTTCTGCATATAAAGAAGTAAATGTCTATTCTTTTAATATCCCCTGCCTTATAAGATTTACCATATAATGTGCTTTTTAATGTACTAAATGTACTTTTAAATGTACTAAATTATCTGTTGACCATCATGTAATAATAGCTCTGTGTAAGTAGAGTAGATCCAAGGCAGAGGGTGGGGAGGGAATACTCCCACATTAAATACTTGTGTTTAGTTCATACAAATAAACCATTTAGATTTATTTAGTCCAACTCAATGGTAAATAGAAAATCATTTAGATTTCCCAAATCCAACCCAAAATTTACAGGTCACATTTTGTTATACTAAATCAATTCCATGAGCATTTAAAAACTAGGCAATGAACAGCCTCCAAGCAGCAAAAACAAAGCCCTAGTGGATGGTCTAGTGACATGAACAGAAATCATAAACACTAAAATAGAGTTAAAGAATAGAATGGCCTCAGAAATCTTAATTTAAATAGAATCTGATCTGTATGATCAGAATCAATCAGTTAATCACATTCTCATTAAGAAACTTTTTAAAAATGGGGATTTGATTATTGAGTAGCATTTATAATCTACAGTTTTAATTGCACAGATAGAAACCTTTAGGTGGCCCACAGTCAAAGTATTTATTACTTTTGAATTATCTGGATTTTTAACACTCTATGGTAGGAATTATGTTTCCTATTTGAAAGTAATACTTTCTATTTCCCACTTCTAAGAGGCTTAAATGAAGGCATAAAGTAAAATGATAAAGAAGATTGAAACATCTGGATCCCTAGAATGTTTCTTACCACAGCATGATTCTTCACATAGCAAGGCTTACACACGGGCTTGTCATTGACCATCACATATATTTCCCCAGCTAGGATGTTGTCACAGTCAAAGCAGCAGAAATGTTTCAGGTGCCAATTTTGGTTTTCTGCCTGGGTATACTCATTGCTAAATATCAGCTGGGAAGAGGATAAAAATAAGATGAATCATATATTTTTGCTACAAATAACAAAGCTAGGTTCTTTAGACAATAGGGATTTAGATCCACAAGTATATCAGCTTACTTTCTTGTCTGAAAATAATCTAAAGCTTGAACTTAGGTTAGTAATCAGTTTAGTCCAAATCAATTTATTATGATTGTAGACAATATTTCCTTAGTCAACACAATTAAAAGAGTAGGCAGAATAACTGAAATTAGAATCTTTTTCTTTCAACTTCTTTGGATGTAAATAAAGAAACTGATGCTTGGCTATTTGTACTGCCTTCTCATGAAGGGTAGCGTTAGGATGGTAAGGGGACCATATGGGGGTACAAAAATGAGCCTGCATGCAGGTAGCCCCAGAGAACATACCTCATCACAGCCAGCACAGCGAGGTTTCTCACTGTCACAGTAATGTCTGCCACAGTATAACTTCCCATTCTTCCAGAAATAAATCATGTCAACCAGGAGTTCATGGCAGGTACTGCAGATGAAACAAGCTGGGTGCCAAAGCTTATCATAGCCAGCCCTTTCAGCATAGATGGCTGGGTCACCTTCCTTCATACTCAGTTTGCAGCAGTAGCAGGACTGAAAGGGAATCAACCCAAAACAATCTAGTCACCATACGAATGGTATTTCTCATCACCAGCGTTCATAAAAATTCAAAGAAACAACTTTCAAGAGAAAGAATTTCTACTGAAATTATAGTCTGACCTTGTAGACCACAAGGTGAAAGAGAATCTGTTGACTTTCTCCAGGCTGTTCAAACCTATTCTTACACCCTGTGTGTAACAAAGTATTGTTTCCTCAATTAAAGTCACTTATGAGAAAAGGCTAATAGTAATTTTATTTTATTTTATTTTTATTTTTTCCATTACCATTTGTTCACTCTATGCCCTCTTCCATCTTCACCCATACCCCTCACCCCCATGGAGGAGTGTTGGGGTGGTGGAGGGAATGAGCAAAAAAAAAATTTTCACCTAAATTTTAAGTGGGTCTTTAAAAAAATCGCTGCCTTAAAGTTTATCAGTGCTTTTAAAAAATAATTGTTTTTACAAGACTAAGACTTACTGATTGATGTGCTAATAGAATCTATGAGAAATATATTACATTAAGTTTAGTTTTCATTTTTTTGTTCATCTGTGTCACAATTTTCTTCAAGCCATAAAAAAGACTTCAATTTCCTTCATTAGGAGAGATTTTTAAAAATATGATTGAACACATATCCTTATAAATTTAAGCTTGAATTTTAGGTGCAATGTTCAAGGAAAACTGAATTAAGCTAGTCATATAGTATTCTTATTTATGGGAAGAGATAAACAATTAACACCAAAATTATATTTAGAAACAGATTCTAGATTAATATGCTGTATTCCAGAATGACACCAATGCTAATTATTGTGTTTACCTAAAAATCACAATTATCCTTGGCAAACTCAGAAAACTTGGCTTTAGGCAGAAGTTTCAAATGTGATGATTCTCTAAAAACAGCATACATTGAATTTGAATTCAATTTATTTCCCCCACCTACTCTCTTTTGGAAACAGGAATGGCCTCCAAAAAGTTTCAAAGAAAGGGAAAAGGCATGTAAAATACACCAATTGGGCCAATGGTGTGACCACTTTACTCACATATTGAGTTGTTCTCTGTTCAGCCAATTTGTCCTTCACGGTCCCCACTGCTGCCACGGTGCTTCTGCCTCCACCAGGAATGTACATTCTGTTGGAATCTTGAGCATCCATCTCACAGGGAAGTTTGATATCTCCAACTCCCAGAGCCTCGTTCTTGTATTTCTTCACAAACTGCTCCATCTCCTTCACCTCTTTGGGAGACAACTCATGACACTTTGAAGGGTCCTGGTCATGTGCAGGAAGCTGCTTTGCCAGCTGCTTCTTCCGGTACTGTGCCCCCTCTGAACCCGCCACTGGCTGCTTTTCTTTGGGCAGCATCTGCATGTACTGCCTGGCCTGAACCACAAGGAGACCATTGTCAAGTGGGAGAGGCCTTGGCCATTAGGCAGGCGATATTATTTTATAGCACAGAAGCAAGTTACTTAACCAAGAAGTTAGTTTTAATTATTACCAAAAAATAATCTTTATCATATAAATATCTTAATATTAAATATTAAAAATAGATTTAGTTCAATAAAAGTAAACACACTTTTCTCCAAAAAAATTAAATATATTTTTGTTCAATTTATAAAAAGATTAAGGTTACTAATATTTACTTGTGCTAAATGTACAAACGTACAATTGAAATAGAACATACATTTTTAGGCAGCATGTTTAGAATGGCCTATGGATCAGCAACATTTTCATTGTAAAAAAATATCATCACAAGATTCACTCTAATGATTTAACTAACATTCTTAAAAGATTTCCATATCTTATCTAGTTGTAACATGATTGTCACACAAAATATATATTTTTTGCCTTACCTAATAAAAAAATACAGTGTTGAACATGTTTGGAGCTCTAAATAATCACAGAAATGTTATATTCTTTAGATATTATTTACATCTTAAGAGAAATGGTCTCAAGAGTAAGTTAGAAGAGTCACTAGAGTTGTACAAACATCTGTTTTTCATCTACTTATTAAGAATTTCAGACCATTTCCTCAAAAAGGTTAATGTATTTGATTGTCAGAAAAATTCTATGAGGTGTCTAATCTTACTTTCAAAAGACTATAATAAGAATTGAAAGTCAAAGTAATGGAAACCCCAGAAAAAAAAAAAAAAAATAGATCTGAAGTTGGTTAGGTCACTGAGGGAACTGCCCTAAATAAGTAGTTCAGGAACTTTAACAAAGGAACTTCCCTCCTGCTTATTACTTACCAATGCCTGATTCTGGACAGGAGGAGCCCATTCATAGGTAACTGTGTTGATGGAGACATTCTTTTTGGCAGCAACTGGATTGGTCAATATCATAACATTGCGTTTGTACATGGGAATTCCATCTGATTTTAGCTTTGCAATCAGAGTGGTATACTTGGTGTCTTCAAAAAGTTTCCCTACTTTTCGGTCCTCTTCATTGCTCAATAGGACATCATGTTCTTCTTCACCACACTTGCAGTTACGACATATTTTTCTATAATTTTGAAGAAAAGCAGGCAATGACTAATTATACCTAATCAATAATAAATATGTGCATACATTTAAAATTCATAAAAATATTTTACACATATTCCATTTAATAGTATGCAAAGGAAAATCTCTTTTTGTGTGGGGACCACTAAATAGCTATCCATAAATTTAAGTAAGGAAACATAAAATATACCTTCACTTTATAAGACTTTGAAAAATTAGGTTTTGATTGGAAAATGCATGCTCAAGGGGTCATTCTAAGAGTAACACCATCTGGTATTCTTCGTTCTTGTAAATAAATAAATAAATAAATAAATAAATAAATAAATAAATAAATAAAACAGAAAACTATCATAGTAAGAAATTTCATTTTTTTCTCTTAATTTTTATTTTCTTTATTGATTTTAGAAAAAGAAGAAGGGAGAGGGAGAGAGAGATAGAAACATCGATGAGAGAGAACATCAACTGGCCGCCTTCTGCATGTCCCCTACTGGGAATCGGGCCCACAACTTGGGTATGTGCCCTGACCAGTAATTGAACCAGCAACCTCTTGGTGCATAGGTCGACACTCAACCACTGAGCCACACCGGCCTGGCTCTTCTTCTTCTTCTTCTTCTTCTTCTTATTATTATTATTATTATTATTATTTTTGTATTCTCACATTTCCCAACCGTTACTCAAGTTTTTCTTTAAAGTAAGAAATAGGGAGATTGACATAGCTTTTCTCATCAAGGACTATAACTCTAGATTTAGGTTTATCTTGTCTTTCCCCTTTCCAATTTATCTGCCTCCTTCTTTTATTTCTTCAAACACTTAGTGATCACCTACCATGTGCTAAATTATGTATAAAAAGAGATAAACAAAAGTTTCTGTTCTTCTTATAGTTGAAGTACACCACCAGCTCCCCAGTCTGGTCTAGGACATAATCACTCATTCATAAAACATTTGAGTGTCCATGTACCAAGCAACATCCTTAATACTAGGACACAGTGATGATAAAAATAGGCCCAGTCTCTGACATTCTAAAATTTACCACCTGATAGGGAGACAGACATACACACACACACACAACTGCATTTGTGGTAGAAAAGTAGAGGACACTTTGAGAGGGTATTAATTTTGACTTGGAAATGATGAACAAAGAACTTCCTAAGAACATTACTCAATAACAAAGTGACATTTAGGTTGAGATCTGAAGGATGTGGGAAATATAGATGTGAATTGGGTATGTGTGTATATTTTTGGGAAGGAAGAGAGATATGAGAAAAAAAATACTTCCAGCCCTGGCCTGTTTGGCTCAGCAGTTAGAGCGTCGGCCTGCGGTCCGGAGAGACCCGGGTTCAGTTCCCGCTAAGGGCACGTACCTCTGTTGCAGTTTGTCCCCGGCCCTGGTTGCGTCATGTGGGTGGCAACCACTCGATGTGTCCCTTTCATGTCGATGTTTCTCTCTCTCTCTCTCTCTCTCTCTCTCTCTCTCTCTCTCTCTCTCTTTCTCTCTCTCCCCCTCCCACTCTATCTGAACAAAATATGGAAAAATGTCCTCGGGTGAGGATAAAAAATATATATATATACTTCCAAACATTCTGGGTAGGAAGAGTATTTGTGGTGGTCCTAAGTTAGGAAGAGGTTGTTCTTTTAGGTTCCATGATCAGAGAAGGCTGGTAGTGAAGTAAGAAATGGGCAGTGACAAGAATGGGAGGCAGCCATGACATTATGCAGGGACTTGTAGGACACCTGAAGGAATCTGGCCTTCATTATAAGAGCAATCAGGAGGCACTACAGGCTTTTAGGTAATGGAATTACATGATTTAATCTATAATTTTCAAAAATTATAATCCCTGCACTGTGAAGAGAAGATGGATATACATAATTGGATGTAGGGGGACCAATTAACATGTCAGTGGTGCATCCAGTTTGCAGTGGCATGGATTCTAATAACAGGAATTCTACTGCTACTTCACAAGTATATTGAATTTGTTGTGGTCCAGGTAAGATATGTTATAGCTTGGACTAGAGTATTTGACAGTGGAGATGTAAATCAAAGAACAAATTTAAGAGCTCCTTGAATATAAAACTGACTAAACTTTGTGGCTCGTCTGGATGTAGTGATGGTGAAGGAAATGCCCAGTTTGTCAAACAAAGATGAGGTCATAAAATGAATACAGGTTTCTGAAAAGAATAAGTTGGTAAAACGTAATTTATTAAGATAGTAAATGCAAAATAACACTTCTGAGGTATTTCGTGTTGGCGGAGGGAGGGTGATAAAAGGACTCCAAAACTAAATTACTGTTAATTTTGAAGTGTCTATGAGACTGAGTAAAGATCTCAAGTAGACTGTAGGATATATAGCTCTAGTGTTAACTGTAGCCTGGTAAAAAATATAAACTTAAGAGACAGGGAATGATACATATGCATTATGAGTTAAACAGGTCACCTTCACTTCTCAGGGGAAGAGTGGAAGGAAAAGGTGAGGACTCAGGAAGGAGTCTGGCAGAAGAACAGAGCTGGAAAACGTGACAGAGGAAACTGGAAGTAGAGAGGCTGTGGTGTTAAAAACAAACCAAAAATCAGGGGAATCTGAGAGTTTTAAAAAACATCCTAACATCCTTACATTGTCAGGAAAATATTAAAGATATAAATTAACATTGGATGTTAAGTATGCATGTTAAAATATCTAGATAACTAAAGAGAGAAATATTGCATATAGCTTCTAAACTAAGAGAGAAAATGAATTGAATATACAAAATGCAATTAGTCAAACAGAAGGCAATAAGAAAGAGAAGAAACAGAACATTGGGGCATGTAGAACGCACTAATTAAGATCATTGATATAATTAGTCACAATCAATAGTCACAATAAATAACTCAATTTTCCAGTTAAAAGCCAATGGCTTTCACTGGATAATACAACAAAATCCAACTATGTGCTATTGTAAAAGACACTTAAAATTTAAGGACACAAAAAGGATGAAAGTATAAAGATGCAAAAAGATAATACAGGCAAATACCAGCAAAAAAAAAACACCTTGTATACCTTTATGAATAATATACAAATTGGACTTTAGTGCTTTTTTCTTTTTAAGATTTTTTAAAAATTGATTTTTAGACAGAGAGGAAGGGAGAGGGAGAGAGAAACATCGATGTGAGAGAGAAACGTTTCTCGGCTGCCTTCTGCACACCCCCTACCACAGGATTGATTCCCCGAACAAGGCATGTGCCCTGACCCAGAATTGAACCAGCAACCTTTCAGTGCATGGGACAATGCCTAACCAACTGAGCCACACCAGCCAGGACTGATTTTTCCTTTAATGAGTATTAAGCCACTACATAGTGACAAAATTTTTCAAACACCCCTATGATATTGTAACCGTTCTAAATTTAATACAGCCTAATTACCTAACTACAAAATACATAAGTGAAAATAACAGAGCTATAAGAAACAAATGGACAAACCCATCATTATAAGAAAACAAAACAACATTAAAAATAAAGATTTGAATAAGACAATTAATAAGCTTGATCTGACACACACAAAAATACCATATCAAATTATGTATCTGTATTCATTTGTTTCTTTATGATTGCACTTTTTAAATAAAGGGTTTAAGTAAACTTTGCCCACTCTTCACCAAAACAAACACACATATCCAGTGCCTACAGAATACACATTCTTTTTCTGAGCATTTGAAACACTGTGAAAAGTTGAACATAACTATGCCATACAGCAAGTGTCAGGAAATGCCCAAGGACTGATCATAAACCACAGTATCTGAACAGAATGTGATTATGTTAAAAATCAACAACATTAGAGCAACCAGAAAACACTTCTTAAAAAAAAAACAAAAAAACTAGCCCTGGCCAGTTTGGCTCAGTGGTTACAGCGTTGGCCTGCAGACCAGAGAGTCCGGGTATCGTTCCCACTAAGGGCACATACCTTGGTTGCAGTTTGTCCCCGGCCCCGGTTGGGGTCATGTGGGTGGCAACCAGTCGGTGTGTCTCTCTCACATCGATGTTTCTCTTTCTCTCTTCCTCCCTCTCTCCCTCCCACTCTATCTGAAGATAAATGCAAAAATGTCCTTGGGTGAGGAAAAAAAAACAAACAAAAACTAAATTTAAATTTAAATGCTGAAACAATCACAATAGAAAGTAAAAGAAAAATATTTTCAGAAAAAAGAAAACAAAACTTCTTGAAACTTTTAGAACACATCTAAAGCAATTCTTAAGAGAAAATTTATAGCTTAAATACTCAAATTATAAAAAAAAGAGATTAATAAACTAAGTGTTCAATTCAAGAAGTTAGAAAAAAGCAAAATAAGACTAAAATAGAAGGGAAAAAAATAAAGATAATAGTAGAAACTAATAAAGTAAATGTTTGCTTCTCATTAAATACAGGAAAAACATTCAATAACACATTTCTCAACATCTTTCCTGATTACACTTTGTTTATTAATTTTAGTTATAGTAGAAAATTTGAAATAATTTTAGAAAGGGTTTCTGGGGGAAAAACAGCAACAAATACTCAGCATACATCAAACTTAGTACATTCGTTTTAGGATTTGAAGCAAGAAAACCACCTCGCTATCATTACTTCATTTATATTACCTTGCAGGTATTAATCAGAGCATTAAAAAAAAGAAGAAGAAGAAGAAATAGAAGTTATAAGGAGTCATCAGAAAGAAAGAAACTATTGTTATTCACAGATACTATGACTAATCACATAAAATGCAATGTATTAGCATCAATAAGAATTTAATAAGTTTTCTGGATTTAAAGTTTATATAAATAATTGGATTTCTTTACATCAGAAAGTTGGAAGAAACAAACAAAAACTCTTAAATCAATCTCTTTGCCAAATAACATATATTAAATAATTACAGATTTTTGTGTTCTGAGTTTTCTTGAGGTGAGTTTTGCAAACTAAAGATATTAGATCTGATTTATACAGTTCCAGAACGTGAGAGACTAAAACAGAGAAAGACAGAGAATTAAACGCAGAAATATACA